CTCTGGGCTTTGTGTTTCTGTGTCTGTTGAATCCCTGGGGACAAGTGGCCTGCAGAGCTTTCCCTAGCCTGGGAAGGATGAAAGAAGTGCTAGTGGGGGGTGGAGACCCCCCAGTTGGGGGGGAATCTCTTGCCTTGGTAATGCCTATTCTTATTTTGTGGGAGGGGCAAGCGCTCCATGTGTGTCAGTTCTGATGATGTTTCCAAGGGTCAGACTTCTGCACCAATCCTATGTCACCTCACTCTCGGTGGGGGTGTGTGTGTGTGTGTGTGTGTGCAATCTGAGCAGGTGTCTAGCAGGGGCAAACTCACATCAGACCATGGGATATGCTGGGGTCATTACACAAATATTTTTTTGATCACTTACTACGTGCTTAGTGTGGGATCTCCTGACTGGTTTCTGCTCTGGGGAGCTCCAAGGGAAGGCTCAGAACCAAATTAGCCATTAAATGTCCCTGTGCTAGTTAGTCCCAAGACTCTTTTATGCAGTGGTCTGGGCTGGGCATTAAACTTGCTTAGAGTTTTCTTTCAGACATAGAAATTCCTGGAGATTCGGATTCCAGGATCAGTGTGGGTGTGAGTGGAGGGTGCTGGTTAAGAGTTATAAATACCAAACTGCTGGGGTTCCCAGTAAAATTGTGCAAATGAAACAAGTGACCTTGAGCTACCAGTTCCTCACAGAATGAATGAGGGGAACAGTAAATTCAGCAAAGTTTTCTCTTTCTTCCCCCATCCCTTGGGAACAGGATTTTTATGGCCCTCACCATCCTTATCACTTACCCACTGCCCCCATTCTTTTCTTCCTTCTCCTTTTCCTTTATACTAGAGGCCTGCTGTACAAAATTCGTGCACAGGGGTGTGTGTTCCTCACCCAGCCTGCACCCTCTCCAATCTGGGACCCCTCAAGGGATGTCCGACTGCCCGTTTAGGCCCGACCCTACTGGGATCGGACATCCCTCTCACAATTGCTTGCCTGCTTACTTTCCTGATTGCCCCTAACTGCTTCTACCTGCCAGCCTGATCACCCCCTAACCACTCCCCTGCCAGCCTGATTTCCCTTAACTGCCCTCACCTGCAAACCTGGTCACCCCTAACTGCCCTCCCCTGAAAGGGTGGTCCCCCCAACTGCTCTCCCCTGCAGGCCTGGGTCCCCTCCAACTGCCCTTCCCTTCTGTAAGGTGCAACCTGACCACCTTCCATTGACTGCCCTGGACCCCAGGTAAGGCTTGCCTATCTCTTGGACACCCTCCCCCACCCATTCTGCTGCAGCAGCCCAGGAAGGCATAGGCATTTCTGGCACCCTGTCTGCTGATTCATCCTGAATCCCATCAACTGAAGTTCTCAGATTTCTTTTTCCACAAGTTTCCTTTAAGATTCATCTTCCCCACTCAGTCTCCCGCAGTTGGTTTCTGAACCTGGCTGCAAGATCTCACAGGTGCACCTGGCAAAGGTCATATCAGTACATCCTTCCAGGTTAGGGAGATCTGGATTGTGATTCCATTTTGGAGGGGAGCCTCCAGTCCTCCAGGCTTTATACATTCTACAGATGCTCCTAGCAGGCAACATCTAGGTCTTCATTCAGCAGCCAACTTATTCATTCATTGATTCGTTTATGCGTCAGACTAGGTTTGAGATTCTACTGTGCACACAGCCGTGTGCTAGACCCCAGGGATCCAACAGTGACTGTGGTCTGAGTAGGAATGGGACTCATGCAAGTTCCAAATGGAGTCAGTGGCAGAACCAGACTGGAATCAAGGACCCTATTCCCTATACTCATGGGGCTCCTAGCAGAGTTGGGCAAGGCTCACTCTTCTTACTTTCCCCACCTGCTCTGATGGGCCATGAGACAATCTGGGGTCACTTATCTCTGCCAGCAATGAACATGAGAAAGGGCTATGGAGACCTTATCTGAACCCTGAAGCAGAACAGGAAGCCCCAGTGCTCACGATGCAACTCATGGCCCCCCAACCTTGTCCCTCCCCAGAGGACAGCCAGCCACACACTCATGCAAACTCATCACCACAAATTTGGCACTAGCACTGCCTGTCTTTCTCTGCAGCACAGAACTTCCACCTGGCTGGTTCACCCAGAGCCTCCAGAGATCATGTACTTGATGCAGCTCTTGTTGCTTGGGCAAAGACCCAGAATCTAGTCAGGTTAAGGCTTGAGTTCATCAGTGGCTTTTCTAGGAAATAGCATGGTGGATTAGAGTTGAAAGTCTGTGAGTTTGGAAGTCACACAGAACTGAGTCCACTGTGGAACCTAATATCTCTAAGATCCAAGTCCCTCAGCTCTAAAATGAGACACCTGCCTAACTGAATTGTTGTGGGAATGAAATGAGATGATGCTTGTGAAAGTGCTTGGCACATGGTCAGAAACACACTGGTTGCCTCCCTCCCTTCCTTCCCCTGAAAGGGGCAAAGACAATGTACCTCTGAAACTGGGCTTTGTCTCTTGCTGTAGTCCTGTCATCTGGAGGGAAGGTGGGCAGTATGGGGCAGACCCAGAAGACAGTAGGGTCTGTGAGTGGAGGCAGTGAGGAGCTGATTACTAGGAAGCTGTGGGGCTGAGAAAGAGCCACTTACCAGCTAAAAACCTTGGGCCAGTGACTTCTCTCTAAGCTTGTTTCCTCATCTCTAATATGAGGGTAAATGAACTGGGATAATAGATATCAAGTGTGTGGCTCTGCACTTGTTCTTAGTAGGGGGCTCAATAAACCTTCCCACCCATTGTACCAAAAATAAATTTCCAATTCATGGCTGGAAAACTTGAGTAAATCCCAGAATGGGGCTCAGTTTCTTCTGACCCACATGCTATGAGAGCAGTGAAATCTTGCTGGGAGGGTCTGTGTGTACTGTGGGTCTGTTTAAAAACTGCACCTGCTAGTTTACTGGTGTCACACAGCACCATCTAGTGCCCAAAAGTGGAAAGGCCCTCCTGCCTCACCCTGCTTGTCCTCCCTCCCCAAGGCCAGGGTGTGTGAGGGGGTGGGGTGGAGGGTGTGAGAGAGAAAGAGAGAGAGGTGTGGGAGCACTGTTATAGGTGGTATAGCTGGGCCACTCAGAGCTTTATATCCCAGTTAGTGGGGAAGTAATGCTATTTTTCAGATGCCTAGTCCCTCCACTTCCTTTCAACACAAATACAGATGACTATAGGTAGGTCCCTTGAGCCTCACTGGGCCATAGTTTCCTCATCTAAGGATTGCAAGGCTTCAGGATAGGGTTGTTTCAGGCAAGGTGCCTGGTAAGTGCCTGATGCCTCTCGGTCCCCACCTATGCTTGCTCAATAACCCAGACAGACACAATCTTTACACACCCTTTATATTTTTATTGAGGAGAAAGCTTTAGCATACAGAACAATTTCTTATCTTCACAACACAGTAATGCAACAATAACACCATAACAATAACACATTTATTTCCAACCTGTTTTCTCCCCAGTCTCTGGGAATCCTTGAGCTGTTTTCATATCCCTGCATGCGTTTTCCCCCACCCCTCTTTCAACCCAAGAAAGTGCCCATAGCCAATAGCTCCTCTTACAGTTCTGGTGTTTGTCACATCACAACAAATATTAAAGACCTGGGAAAGGGGGGAAGAGGGTCAAAGGGGGAACCCAGGCCCCCTTGCCATCAGAGGCCCAGGAACCAGCTCATTCCTCACCCACTCTTTCCTTGGCTGAGGCTACAAGGTCTCAGGGTGAGAAGCACCATGGGAACAGTCAGAACCTGTGCCAAGGAGTCCCTGGAGGTGGGGATGGAAGGCACCTGTCCTTTGCACTTCTCCGGCAGGGACATGAGCAGTAGGGCCATTGTGTTGATCATCAGCAAATAGGGTCCACAGCCTTGAAAAACAGTAGTTCCCCTTTTGGAACTCTTCTGAGGAAATAGCTGAAAAATAGACAAAATTTTCTTTACAGTGTTCACTCCTGCACTGGTGGGAATGGGGAAACCAGGTTACTGAAATATCCAATGAATTAGGAGAATACCTCAATTATCCAGTGTGCATGACTGCATAGGTGGCAGCCATTTTAAATCCTGCTGATCATGAGCTTGCAGGATGATCTCAGCTTTGAAAAGACATACTGAAAACACACTAGAAAGAATGACAGCAAATAGTATTTGCGTCTGTGTGGCGGGGTTCTGAATATTTGGGATTCTTTTTGTCCTTATGTTTTCTCTATTTTCTACATTTTCTATAACGATTATGCATTACTTTTCTATTTGGAAGAGGAGGAAGCCTTTTTAAAAGGTAGCAACAGGTAATAGGAACCAAGCTCCCCTGGTCCCGAGCTGAGAAATTTAAGATAAACAAAAGGGCTTCTTACCTTCTGCTGATGAGTAGAGACCTCCCCAGCAACCAGCCAGTGAACTGGTCATCCTCCAGCTCCTTCCTCTTGCTTCCAGGCTCAAAATCCTAAAACTGAGGTGAGACTATCTGCCAGACTCCAGTGAGGAACATAGGCTTGATTTACTCTGCTCTATTCTGTCTGACTACAGACACTTTGACTGCACTTACCCAACTGCCAGGCTCAGTGTTGAGGGCAGTTCAGGCCAGCAGTGGATTTTCCTGGAATTCTGTGGCCAGTAATATAGTTTCTAGACCCACAGAAAGCAGCAGGACTCTTTATATGAGTCCCTAGGTTTGTACCCAGAAGTCCCAGGAGTTACTAGGAGGCAGTCACCCTCTTCAGTCTTGCCATGGCTTGCCCCCCATGTGAGAGACGTGAGGATGGCCTGGCTGACAGGCTACAGTCTCTGTAGAGAGAATTTTTCTCTCTTCTGAGAACTAAGGAATCCTTTAAGTTGAAATTAAAGAGCAGGCCTTGTGCTCTCTCTGTCCTTGGCAGTCTGGAAAGGAATGGCCAGTTAGGTCATCTGTGAATCCCCAAGGATGGCAAATCTTCTGCAAAGACCTTTTGGTGGGGGGCTGCAGTCCAAGACCTGGGCTGGCCATCCCTAAGGAGTCACTCCTCACAATGTCAAACTGAGTTGTTGCTGCTCTTATCTCCTCTTCTTCCTCCTCCCCCATTTTCCAGGCAACATCAAGGAAAGGGGTAACACTGGGTTCTGTCCAGCGGGGATGCCCGGGAGGACAGTGTGGTAGGAAGAGAGGGCCCCAGATTTTGTGAGTTTGTCCAAGGACCTTGATACGGTAGTCTTTGGGAAGGTTGAACTAGCTTGCTCAGTCATCAAGAACAAACCTCAGTGAAATGTCCACTTGACAAGTGGCTTTGCCCACCCTCACTGGACTACATGTAAGGTCCTCTTTGGGCCCTTCTGCTGGAGAATGAAGCAAGTGTAGGCTTCTAGGCACATTTAGAGATCCCATCCTGCTCTCCGTCAATTATATCTAGTAAATATCCTCAGTGGCCTTAGGAGTTTAGTGTAGCCCGCCCTTTCGCTCGCTCACTGGGGCAGATCATTGAGGCATTGGGTGAAGCTTTGGTGAGCCAGTCAGAGTTGATAAAACCATAGAACACAGTATTAGGAATGACTAGAGGGGAAATGTGAGGGTGTGACCAGTTCATTTATGGGAATAGGCCCAGAAACCTGCTCAGCAGCTTGTGGTAGATCTGAGCAGAGTGCAGTCAAGACGATAACTATTGCTGACCCCTCCTTTACCAGGTGGTCATGGCTGCAAGATGGTCTGTAGTTCTACAGGTCTTCTTCAGGTTTTTCAGGTCTGGAACTCCCTTAAATACTAGTCAGAAAAGGGGCAAGGTGTGGCAGCAATAGCAAGGAAAGGGGACGCAGTAGAAGGGTGTGTTCTGGGTGGCCATCTCCGCAGCACTCACACGCGAATTCGGCCACGGGGAGCCCGGTGGCCCCCCTGTCTTGGAGTGAGGCGGAATAGTACTGGGGGCCGTCTTCGAGTTTGGCGTTGCACCAAGCGACCTGCCTGGCGAATCAGTGATGGTGAACTGTAGAAGGGTGAATTGATACCTGGAAGGCCCTCCAGCAGTGGGACTCGATCCTGGTTCCTCCGTCTGTTGGCTTGTATTATGGGAGTTGATGCATCTAGGAAATTTTCATGATAGTAGCCAGAAGTCTGGGATGAAGCATTGGCATAGGTCGGCATCACGTCCACGAACTCATCTAGGTCATCATCCTGGGCCTCATCCTCTGTCTCTTCCTCCAGTTCTGGCTCCTGCTCTGTTTCCTGCCCTGGTTCCTGGCCCTTGTCCTCATCCTTATTCTCACCCTCATTCTTCTTCCTGATTGCCTCCTCTTCCTTGTCTATGTCGCTGACCTCCACTATCTCGTCTTCATTATGATAGTCCTCCTCCTGTTTCTGTTTCACCTCCTCCTCCTTCCTAATCTCTTCCTCCTTTTTCCTCTTTTCCTCCTGCTCCCTCATCTCTTGCTGAATAACTCTCACACACCTCCACTGGTCCTTGTGAAGCCTGCGCTTCAGGAATTCAGGCAGGTAGACCTGGTCGCCTGAAAAGGGCTCTAACTCAGGCCACTCCAGAGGTGGCATGGGAAGCTGTGGGGGCAGCTCCTTGGAGGTGGGCAGGAGCAGCGCCAGAGCCGGCGGGGGTGGGCAGGGCTGCGGGGAAGGGTCGACCTGGCCTTCTGAGGTGTCGCAGTCCTGGGTGGTGTTGACCAACAGCTCCTCTGAGGCGCTCCCGGGATCTGTGCGTGGGGGAGGCGAGCACATGAAGGGCAGTTCGCCCTCGGGCACGGAGTCTATCTCGCTGAGCGGGAACTCAAAGTTCTCCTCTAGGACCTGCACTGGCCAACGCACCAAGCTGGAGATATTGCCCCTCAAGGAATTCACGTCGGCCAGGGCTCTTCCGAGCTGAGGGCCCAAATTGTCATTCTCCCTGCGAAGGGCATTTAATTCTTCTCGCAGGGCCACGTTCGCCATGCGAAGGCTATTGAGATTTCCTGATACCTCGGACATCTGGACTCGCCTGGGGCTCTGGGTCCGCGAGCGGAGTAGTTATGGGGGTGGGGCGCGGACAGAGACCTAGGCACTCGGAAGGAGGCCAAAATATGGAGGGACATGGGAAGGGAGCGGTGGGGCCAGGTAGGCCGAGCCACACCCACAGGGGCGAGCACGGGGAGCGGGCGCTGCAGGTGCAAGGCCTGCCAGCTGGGTCTGGGGTGCGTTACCTCGTCCAGAGGACCGGAAAGGGCAGACAGCGGCAGGAGCCCAGAGGTGCAGAGCGGAGGTCGCGGGAGGCGAGTCAGCAGCACCAGGCGGCACCGGAGCAGAGCTGGAAGGAGCGGACTGCTGCACTATCTGTAGAGGGAAAATATTGCCGCTGCCTGATCCCCGCCTTTTAAGTTCAGCCTCGCCCCGCCCAACCCCCAATGGCAGGGGCGGGACTTCGGGCATTGTGGGCGCCCAGTGGCCGCCTCGCCCACCCTGGGCTGAGCCTCTCACTGACTCTCTCCTTCCCTAGCTGCAGCTAACTCAGGTCGGGAAAATGCGACAGCGACTGCCCACTCGAGGTCGTCATGGCGACAGCCAGTGAACGTGTTCCTCTCCTCAGGCAGGCCCCCGAGTGTAGAGGAGCTGCTTCGAGAGGCGCAGCTTAATCTCCAGAGCCTGTTGCAAGGTACCGAGAGGGTATGGGGCTTTGTCTGGACCCACAGGCCAGATACGCAGCAGCTGAGTAAGGCACTGAAGAAAGACAGGGACCAGTGAGAGAGAGAAAAAAGTTTAAAACCCATTGTAAAATAAAACACACATTTTCCATCTGTCACCTTCCAGACTGATTCTAAATCACTACCACCACCACCACTTTTTTTTTTTTAGCTCAGTAGTCCATTGGGGGCGGGGGGAGGAGGACAGAAATTGAGACAGGGCAAATGGTAAAACCATTCATTTCCAAAGACAGATGGGTGAGAGACTCTCACAATGTAGCCCACATACCTCCCAGACCTTCCTTGCCACATCACCCATACCTTTGGAATCCTGGCAGTGAAAGCCAAAGAAGGCACCTGCAGAGTCTCCCTCTGGGCTTCACTCATTCTACTCTTGCATTAGCCTTGTCCACATTATCTTCTGGATAGCTACTGCTTTACCAAAGCAAGCCCAATTACACAGCACCTAGCGCTCACTTCACCCCCAATTCCCAACCCACTGTCTTTGAGCATATAATATGCAAAACTGGGTCCACAGACCCAGAGAAGCAGCCCAGTCAGGGTGCCTGAGCAGTCACACTGTACCCACCAGGCAGGTGGAGAAAACCCAGACTTGGAAAACAGAGCTATCATAGAACATAATTCTATTCACATACCTACCTAGCTGTGTAACATTATGCAGATACCCACCCTCTCTGAGCTTCACATCAGTAGTCTTTAAAATGGGAATTCCAATTCTCCACATGGCACAGTTTTGTGACAACTAAAAATAGGGCTTAGCAAGAGTGTTTTGCTGCTGGAGAGACCTTGATGAGATGCAGCATCAACTCTCAGTACATGTCCTTTGGAACATGGGATGAGCTAAACACAATATTAAAGTTAATATAAGAAATAAGGTGTTCCCTGATGAGACTTATAATATAAAAAAATACACATTTACCAGATGAATTTACCTAATGTAAGTGGCAAAAGTATTAAAGCTCAGGTCTATGAGAAACTATTGGTGAGCTGCAAATACCTGGGTGGAGATTACAAAGGGGCATGCATATGTCCAAGTTCACTGAACTATACACAAGTATGTGCACTTTACTATTGGTAAGTTATATCTCAATAAAATAATACAAATAAAAATTCAGTGCTAAGTCACAAGCTCCATACCCCCTTTCAGCCTTCACATCCCATTCAAACCTCTTTTCTAAACCTAGAAGACATTCCTCCCTCTTCCCACTCCAATCCTTATACTTTCTTTATAGTTATATTCTTGCCTCCTCTAAGAATACCTTTCACACAAGTTCTGCACTTTGCACCATTCCCTCCATAAGCACTCATATGAGGCGCTTTGTACATCCAGTTCAGGAGGACTGTTATAGTTCTGAACTGCTTTTCCTTTCATTTGTTCACTCATTTACTCTTTCATCTACTAGTCCTGGGTATATATTTTGTCCACCTGACCAGACTGAGCTTGTCAACATAAAGAACCATGTCTCTTGGGTTTCCAGAAGCACCTGGCACAGGGCTTGTTCCCCAAGAAGTGCTCAATAGACATTTCTTGAGTGAGCATTAAATGTGAAAAAACATCTTATCAGCTCTCATTTATTCATGCCAATGAATATTAACACTGGTGGAGAATAGAAAGTGGCACATGGCCACCCAACTGGACTATAGCCATAACCCCCACCTCCTTGCCAGGGCAGCTCTGACCTTAGAGAAGCAAGATACCAAGGGACACCATGAGCCTTGTGTTCAGATAAGAAAGGAGCTACCATGCAGGAAAAGAGTCAATGTATTCTGTGATGCCTCCATGGACAGTTAGCACTGCGGGAGGAACCTAGAGGGAAGCAGATTTCATATCAAGATGAGGAACAAGTTTCCTGACTCCTGACAGCCCCAACTGTCCTTGGATGGAATCAGCAGCATTGGGAAGAGGGCTGCTCCCTCTTCTGCAAGTGTATGCAGAGGCTCAAGAGACACGCTGAAGAGCTGCTAAGGAGAAAGTCTGAGCCCAGAATGGGGTGTTGGACCAGAGAACCTTTGAGGACCCTCCTGACTCTGTTGATTCTTAAATCTTTGCTCAAATATGCATAGAGCCCTGCCTGTTGATTCCTTACTCTCACTTCCTTCATTTCATTGGATTCCTTCCCTTCCTTTGAATTCATCGGTTAAATGAAACCAATTCAAATCTTATGCATCCTTCATATTCCCTGATGATGCCACTGAAATTCTCCTTCCTTCTATGCCACTTCCTCACTTTCCTCTCCACCTACACTCCCATGGACCTGTCACCACCTACAGCAGGATTAAGATGCAGGAAGCCAGGCTTTTGGATGCTTGAGTAAGAGTTCTTGACATTCAAGGGAACACCTCACATTGGACTTCCCAATACAAATCTCCATCTGTTTCACCCAGGTCTCTTCTCAGCTAAGGTTACAGAAAACCTGAAGAACTGCAGGGCTTCAAAGAGAGAACCTTGCAGCATAAAGTAGCAAGAGGTGTCTGCACCCTGAGCCTCCACTCCAGTTGAACACTTAAGGTGTGGACCACAGAGACAAGGACTTAATCCTAGAACTGGCACAACTCAAATTTCTTGATTCTCTTTTCTCCTTGGCTCTCATAGTCCCAGAAAGTATTCATTTTCCAGAGGTTCAGAGGCCAGGAAATATCCTAAAGAAATAGTGCAAGTCAGGCCTGGCAGCTAGAGCAGGAGCCCTGGCTCATGGTCCCTCCCCTACTTGGCACTTGACAGTGGCCCCCTAGAGTTTGTATCTACTATGCTGTTTTTCAGAAGAATATGAGGAGCAGTACTCAGAGGCCAGACTGCTGGGGCAGACCTTCCGCTCTGCTGATGAGGCCCCTGAGCCCACTCCCAGCCCAAGGCCCCAGTCTGCCAGGCGTCTGGAGTTTGTATTGATGGTGAGTTGCATCTTCCCCTGCCTGGGAGAGCCAGTACAGAGCTCTCCCTGCACCCATCAATAGGGGATCTTGAGCTGCTTACATTATCCCCTGGATATTGCTGCTCATCTCTGCTCACCAGCAGAGCTACCCTGAGGCCCAGCCCATATGGGTCTTTCACACTAGGTGTCTGGCCTGGCAGCCTGTCCATGTTCTCCTGCCTCCCAGACGAAGCCTCCAACCAGCCTGCCTAGACAGCTATTTTGTGGGCATGGCTCATCTCCAGTCAGGAGCACACCCTTCCCATCACCTTCTTTCCCAACAGCCTACAAAACAGCAGCTGAGAGAGGATGAGACTACCACCCAGGGTGTGAGGGCCCCTGAGGCCTCCCTGAGCCTGTCTACCACAGCGGACAAGCAAGTTGCCTGGAATATCCCCTTCCCTCTGCCCATCCTAGAGGAGAAGCGGTGGCTTCAGCCTTGTTCCACGCACTCTGACATTGTGCCCATCAACATCTCTGGTAGAGTTGCTTAGCACCACCTCTGTTTGCTTCCCCCCATGCCAACTACAGACCATCCTCTCCAAATGCACTGGATGCTGGGGGAGGGAGCAAGACTTTCTCTGCTACTGGCTCACCCTGCACTGTCAAGGTCATGGCTCCTGCCAGGGAATGGAGGCATGCAGAAGATGGGGCTATGGCTGCTCTTTCTTCACTCTACTAGCACTTCCACACTAACTGAGATCATCTGATAGCAAACAAAATGTTCTTAAAGAAAACTCTGAAACTTTATGAACTTAAGTGCTCTTTGGAGTGTCCATGGGTATTTAAAATTTGTGAGTTATATTTGGGTTGGGAAAAGGAAACTTCTCTGCTAGAATCTATGTTTGGATAGGTGTCTGAGGGAAAGCGTGGGGTTCAGAGTGTTGATGATAAAAGGTAGGCTCATACCTAGGGTGCAGACCATGGGCCTGATGGCACTTTAAGTAGACACTCAGTCTTTAAGTGAGATGGGTCTCCTCAATTCACACATGGCAAGTGTTTAGGAAGGAAAGTAACAGAAAGAGACCAAGGCCCAAAAGGCCAAAGGGGGTGAGGGGGCAGTACTACCTCAAAAGTGGGGGAAATGATGTATGTAGCTTAGTTGGATGTGGCTTTGGGAACATGTGACACTTGTTATTAATTCATGCTCCACATTCCATTTACTGTAAGTGGAAGAGGAGGAGTCTTGGTCATTTCAGAAGGAGATAGGGCCAGCAACCCAATGAAATCAAGACTTCATGACCTAAAGGAACCAGAGGCGTTGTGTGATCTAGCATTGGCTTGTGGTATGCTGGGAAAAGTTGATTAAGATGAGGACTCCTCTGGTCACATGTGGTGACGCTCTCTGTATATGGGGCCATCCAGCACCATTGGTGTCATCTCAGGAAAATAGAGGAAGAAAATAGAGCCCACAGCCTAGGGAGATGTACAAAGAGGCGTGATGGTGGGCACTTTATTTCTAAACTTCTATCTTACTCTCAATAAGGCTGGCCCTGAGCTTTGTCCATGGAGTCATGTGTGGGAGGAGGGTATCTATGCAGCTGTGAAGCTGTGAGGGGAGAGTTTGGTTAGCCAGCTATTGAATGA